CTCTTTATCCCTTTATTCATATTCCAGAGAGGTCAAACTGGTCACTTTCCATGTCTGACCCAAAAGCTTATTATTATAATGTAATTTTAAATGCTTTTTAAAGCATAGAAAATATTGTAATAATATCAAGTTACCATGTGGAGAGATTATTCTGGAATAATATGTTTTAAAAGAAATGGAGATTTTTTAAATCATTGAATATTATCTTAGAAACATATTCTTTTTCTGAGTATTTTATTCACAAATAATTTTACTGGAAACCTAGCCTAAAAGAAAGGCATCATATTGATTTGAAAACACAGTGACACATTGTTTCAAAAATATTAGTAAATAGTAAGAAGTTAAAGAGATAGGAAACAATGAAGACTCCTCTAACAAAAGGCAGTGCTTACTATATAAATTCTATGTCAATTCTTTAAAATGAACACAGTTTCTATCTGATAAGATCATGCAATGTATAATTTTATGATGACTCTTGGCTAATATAAATATATGTTTTAGAGTGTTTACGTTTATTTTATACTGCAATGCTTTTGGAAAGTAAAATATCTAAGGTTTAAATTATTGGCAACTTGTTCAAATTTATTTTATATTATTAATTTGCCTGCTTTGTGCAATTATTTCCTGCCTCTATACAATTTCAAAATTCTCTCATTTGCATCCACAAGCATAGACTATAACTGTCCATATAATTTGCCACAGTGTAAGGATTTTTAAAATGTAATATTTAACCATGAGCAAAACTTGAACTACAAACATGTGACGCCATATGGCTGTTCGCTGTGATGGTTTCATTTATCTTGGCACAACTTTAGTCTTTATATTTAATATTCTGTGCTTTCTTGCAAAACATTCCCCCCAAAATACATTTTTTGTACTTTAAACCCATGTTTTTATATTAATCATTTGTGCATGTTTGACAGGCCACATTTTATAATGCAATATGATATTTTTCTTTTTTGAATACTAAAAACTAATCCTTTCTTCTCTCTTAGTTATCAGAATATATGGATGGCATCCTAACAATAATAACAATTGTTTCTTAGCATTGTGTTTTAAATTTACATTAACATATTTTCTCATCCCTTATGGCTTTTGTTGTTAATGTTGTGTATATATTAGAGATCCTATGCTTCTTAGGAGAAAAAAATCCAAAAAGTTTCATGTAGCATGCATTTTCTATAGGCTAAGGGAAAACAATAATGTTAACAATAAAACAAAAATATTTTTAGATTCTATTTTATCCTGCCATGATAGTGTAACTTCTGCCAAAAATGCTTTTCTTTCTGCCTCAGTTCATTCTTCAGCATATACATAAAATGTCACTTGGGACTTTGCTAAGTAAATAGGGGTGTTTTGGATCACAATCCACTGTTTGCTTCTTTCAAAGACTTTGTTAAAATTTGTGATTGCTAGTTTGATTTATTGTTTATGATTATTAGCAAAATCCCAGGATGGCAGAAGGGATGTCAATTTTGTTCACTTTCACAGTAGGCCAATGGTAGGGTAATCCTCTCTGATAAAGGTCCTTGAACGGATGTAGGAGAGTCGGTCACAGGTGCCATTAGCAGGAAAGTATAAGCTGCAACCTGAAGGATGAGAAGCCAGGGAAGGGTGGGAATGGGGAGGGAGGGGCAGGTGCTGCTGCATAGCAATCATTGCACAAAGGAAAATGTGGAGGTGAGGTTACGCCAGGAGCAGGCACACTCCACTCATGGTGACCAAAGAAGCTTGGGACATGAAGTTGGAATGACAGAGAGGAAGAGGCCAGAGGGACAGACAGGCCCCAGACCTTACAGTTCCTTTAAGCTGTGATGAGGAGAGTGAATGAACGAACTCAAAGGACAATGTCAGAACCAGTTGACTAATTGTGTGATTTAATAGGAGATATTTTAGTATAAAAATATCCAAAATTGAAGTACACCAAATTTATTTCTGAAATAATCTAGAAGACTGAGAAGCAATGGCTGTAATTCAGATTTACTTGATTCCCAAACTGGTTGGCTTGATTCTTTAGAGCCTTACACCCTAGTTTCTGTATCATAAGGAGAGGAAAATAATAGTACTGAGGCTTCCACTGATTTATATTAATATTATTTAGAAATTGAGACTGTATCTTTATTACATGAAATTCAGAGCACTTTTGTAAATCTAATTTTTCATTATATTCTCCTCATTTTTTAAGGACACTATTTCTCTTTCAAATAAGAGAAAAGAAACTGAAAAAAAAATAGTAGTACAATAGTCTAGGTGATATGCTAATGATTTGTATAACTTAAGAGAAACTTTTGTGTTACCTACTAGACAGCCTGGGCTAGACAATCTGCAGCCATTTTTTTCATTTAATAGTCATAAGAACTCAACAAAGTATATGCTGTTTTTGTCACCTTTTATAAATAAAGATATTGAGTCAAAGGCAGTTTATGTAATTTATCCAAGATCATCTGTCTAAAAGATGGCAGAGTCAGAACTTGAACCAAGATAGTCTGAAGCCTACCATCTTACACATGTCTGCTCCTCTTTGGCAAGAAATAACGTGTTAAGTAACATTATATATATATAGTTGACCCTTTACCTTTTGTTTACTTTGTTATGTACTACATTAAAAATTATTCCCAGGAATCATGGTAGCCTGATTGTATGAGTATTTTTATAACACAAAAATCAATACAAGAAACCAAAGAGTCAACAGCATTAAATATTTTCTAATATATCAATGGCCTTGTGCTGCAACCACTGGCAAATATTTTCTACGTTGTCTAAGATAAAAACACAAATAGTGCACATGTATGTATAGGGAAAATGAATACTTTAATAAATATATATGTGTATTAACTATCCCAATCTCAAGCAAGTTATCCTTGCTTGAGAAAACTTTTTAGAACAGGAAATACTATCCAAATTCAAGGACTGAATGATTAAACCCAACTCATTTTTATTTAGTAAGATGTGAAAAAATACATAGTTAATTGGTAGGCAAGATCTCAATGTACCAGAATTCAATTATAGAGTCTTCAAAACACTAGTGAAATAAAAGTTAATGAGACATTTTAAAGACACTACAATTTTATGATACTGATTTATTTTGCAAACTGGCAAGGATAAATTTAATATATTGAATTAAATTTGCTGTTTTCATTTTGGAATTCCAACCCAAAGAAATATCATTAAATAGTGAATAGTGAATATGTATATATGTATATTTATGTGTGTGTGTGTATATATATATATATGGTGTGTTCCTAATTAAGAGTTCCTTTGTTCTTTTTTTTATGTTGGTCTTGGAATTTAGTCAGTTATATTATTATTGCTCTCTGAATTACAGTAAATGAAGGGAACAATTATTCCAGATCAGCACTAATTCAAACATGATTGGACATATACCAAAGCTAACAAAAATAATTACAACCATGAGTCTATATCATTATAATAAGTATTGTAATAATGAGTGAATTGCTTTGGCACATATACAGAACACTTGTTAAAATATGTTTTTTGCATAAGTAAAAATTAATATTAATTAAGTTTAATATTATAAAGTCTTTTAATTATGTAGTATTTTAAAAATATTACACAGTCTTATTTTTCCCAATGAATAAAGACTTATCTTGTAAGTTAGTTGGTATAATGAAACCCATTCAGTTGATTAAATAAATGGGTCATAAGGAGGAAGTTTATGATCTGTAACTACATAAAAGCAAATGAAAAAACTGAGAGGAATTAATATCATGAACATAAAATATCATCTAAGATTATTTGCACCAGAAAACCATATCTGAGGATAAAAATGGGTAATCTTATACAATCATGGAAGTTTATTAATTTGAAAATTAATGTACATGTTTTAAGCAGTTATTTTAACGGAAAGATTCTTCTTGCTATATCCTCAACATACCTATTTGAATATTGAGTCTTTAGCAGAATTCCTTAAGTCACCTTGAACATACCCCAAGAGTCTGACTTGACATATAATATGTACTAAGAAAAATGTTGAATAAATATATTTATTAAAATATAGTTTTAAATTTATGTGTGCTTGTCTCATCCTCTAGACTGTAAAATCTTTGAATATAAGGACCATCTCCTTCATACTTAATTTTAGAGCTTATCACAATATTAGCCATAGTAGGACATTAATTCATCTATTAGTTAGATGGGCTTTTGACTGCAGGTAACAGAAAACTCAACCATCATAGCTTAAATAAATACAGATAATCCTACTTACATAGCAAAGAAATCAGAGGTATGCATTCTTCATGCAGAAGTTTAGTCAGGGTCTTTTCATCTTTCTGTTTCACCATTTTAAATGTTAGGAGATGGCTGTTATACTCGCCTTCTTTCAGAACCATGTCTTTGTTCAAACAGAAAGAAGGTAGAGGAAAGATGATTTCTCATTCTGATCTTCTCTTATTTTCTAGATAGGAAACCTTCCCAGAACACTTCACCTCACATCTCATCAGCTACAAACAGGCTATATGCCTGCCTTGAGATTAGTGAATAGTCAATAGACGGAAGTCATTATGGAAGATGTACACTAATCATGATTTAGCCTCTGAGATTGGAGTAGTGATTTATTCTCCCAGAGATTAATAGATTTCTCATTCTACCTGAACAAATCAGAATTTAGTTTGCAGAGAAAAAGAAAACCATTATGTAGTTAGGGGACAATAAATATTTCAAGCTTTGTTTTGAAGTGGACCATGTTACAATGCGGAATTGGACTTGTTGAAATAAATTATTTGTGTCATATTCTATCTCCAATTGCATGTTTATATCTTTATTTTTATTTGTTTGGTAAAATTTAATATGGGCAATGTCTGTTTCTTTGAGGATAATTAAAGTGAATAAATTTCTCCATATTTCTAGTAATACTGGAAAATAAAATATGGAATATTAAAAGATGCATTGTTTTTATCAACTTTTCTTTTTAAATGTTGGTCTTGCTATTATAACTGCAAGGAAATTCAAGTGTGCAATTTTTCTCTTTTGTCTTTTCTTAGGCCTTAAAATATAAATATGAATTTGGATTCCATTCGTAGATTAATTGAGGAAACACAAATCTTTCAGATGCAGCATTCATCCATGAAACCACACTGTGACATGGTAGCACCTTCCTCAGCCCCCAGGAATACCTGTAATTCCTGTTTCTCACTTTATGGGCTACAATCTCATGCTGCCCACAATTTCTGTGCTCGCTCATGTAACACCAACGAATGGGATATTTGTGAAGAACTTCGCCTGCGAGAACTTAAAGAGGTCAAGGCCAGAGCCGCTCAGATGGAAAAGACTATGCGGTGGTGGTCAGACTGCACTGCCAATTGGAGAGAAAAATGGAGCAAAGTTCGAGCCGAAAGGAACAGTGCCAGGGAGGAAGGAAGACAACTCAGAATAAAATTAGAGATGACAATGAAAGAATTGAGTACACTGAAAAAAAAGCAAAGTTTGCCACCTCAAAAAGAGGCATTAGAAGCTAAAGTTACCCAGGACCTGAAACTTCCTAGTTTTGTAGAAGACTCCTTTGAACATAGAGACCAATTTCTACTTAATTCACAAATGTGCGAGTCTATCAGAGGGAGTTTGGTAAAAATACAATTTCCTACAAAAGAAATCACAAATAATAAGGTAAGGAAAAAATCCGCTGAGGAACCCAGAGATTATATGCATTTTTGAATGTCATGCCATATATAGTGATGGGGATGAAAGGGACAGGGACAAACCCAATGGTGACTGTATTCATCTGCTGGGGCTGACATAACAAAGTACCACCATCTGGGTGGCTTAAGTGACAGTAATTTATTTTCTCACAGTTGTAGAAGCTAGAAGTACAGGGCCACGGTGTCACAGGGTTGGTTTCTTCCTAGTCTTCTCTCCTTGCCCCATAGGTGGCTGTGTTTTCCCTGCATCTTCATGTTGTCTTTTCCTTGTGTGCATGTCTGTGCCCTAATTTCCTCTTCTTATAAGGACACTATCACTCAGCATCGTAATGACTCCAATTTAACTCAGTCTCATCTCTAAAGACCCTATCTCCAATAACAGTCACATTCTGAGGTACTAGGGGTTAGGACTTCAAAAAATGAATTTTGGGGAGACACAATTTCAGACTATATCAGTGATTTTATAGCAAAAATGAACCCAGAATTTTTGTGTGTTAAGAAAATATTTAGAAATATTTCTTTCCATTACCTCCTTATGTCAAAATTATAAATGATCCATATAGTAGTTTGAATATTTCTGAAGGTTAGGGACTTGAGCCTCACAATTAACTCTTTATAAAATGGGTACTATAGGCAAGTATCTTTAGGAAATGCTTCACATGATCCATTCTTGGAATTCCTTGGCGTAATTTGAATCTTGAAGTTTCTGAGACTTCTGCACAAAAAAGACTTTTTAACAATTTTATTTACTCTACCAGTTTGTGCACTTACTCATCAATGAAACACTCCTTCTCCTTCTCCTCCTCCTCCTCCTTCTCCATTTGGTAAATACTATTAACAACTCAGGCAACATACCTCAGGAAATGTTAGAAACTCACGTTTCCTCTTATCATAGCATCAGCTTGTATTGTTAACTCTGTCTACTTACTTCCATCTCTAAATACATATTAGTTAATATCTTAGACCTCTATAATTCCATCTAAAATTTTAAACCTTTTTATAATGTATAGAATTTGTGGTAGGTATTACTATAAATAGATTCCACTATAAATAAAAAAATATATAAAGATTACAGTAACATGATTACTTTTGCTTATTTGGCCTTCTAAGTTTTTTGTTTTTTAATTTTTAACATGATCATTTAGACTATTAGTCCTTTTCTGGGAAAATTATATGTATTCTCAAAATTCCATTTTGTTAATGTATGTGTTTGAATGCAGTTTTGTGTTTGAATGCACAAAACTTTTGTAATTATTATAAGTCACCAGACTATATTTGAGAAAATGAAAGATTCTCTTCACATGTATGATGCTAGGAAATTCTCAAGATCTTGGCATTTCATCTGAAATATCTTTGTATCATTATTGTCAAGAACAAATTATACATTGTAGATATATATTAAACATTTCTTCATTTGGGAATAAACATAGGAAATTTCTTCTGATGGTAGCAAAATAAGTGTTACCTGTTGAAGAAGCTTTAATCAGATTTTCTTTTTTTTATTTTGACCAGTTTATTTTGACCATATTATTTTATTTCTTTGCCAACTGTGGGCATAGTGAGAAAGATACTTGCATTTGTATAGCTTGTCTGACCATAGTATTTTCCATGGAGAACAACAGATGTCTTGTTTTATTGTTTTTCACAATGGTATAGATAATTGCAATTCTAATTCTTGAGGGAATTAAGAGATGAATCGTGCTAGTTAACCCAGCATCTGCATATTATTAAAAAAATAGGAAAAATGAAATATCATTGAGATTTTACTTGAACTTGACTGACTATTCATTGAGATTTTATTTGAACTTGGCCTTATTTCATTTAAAACCCATGAATCAGGGCAAATGTAAATTATAGACAAATATCAATAGTATGAGTTTAGTGCAGTTTTTGAATTGTGCTGTAAAATTTTTGAGGCAGTGTGCTGCTCTGGTAATTGATGCCCATATTTATTAAAATGCCCCATTAAATTCTATTTGAGATTTGACCAGTGAACTAAAATAAAACAAGAATCAAGCTCGTGAAAATATTCAAGAGCTTCCTGAAAAACCTTGTCTTCCAAAGAATGTTAAAAAATAATCAGTTAGGTTTACTTTGAAACTTGCAAGTGTCTTGTGACAAAAGAAACTTTAAGGAGGAATTCATCAACATTAAAAAAATTCTTTACACATGTTCAAGTTTATGCATGTTTATTGTTAGCTGTGATTAGGAAAACAGACTAAAAGTTAAAGCAGACCTTTTGAGAAATGTATTTTGTTTTAATAAGGTAGAACATAGAAAAAAATAAGTTTGAAGGAGAATGCAAGTTAGTTTTGCCATATAACACTCTGACGAGAAAATACAAATATGGATTTGATGCTGTGTCATAACACTTATTTCCTTTTGAAAATGTATTTTTCTGTATGACTTTTCTCCTGATATATTTAAGTATTCAACAATTATTGTTTTATTTTGTTTTTCAGGAAGAAGGAGTGGTTGTTGATCCATTAAAATTAAGTAAAGAGATGAAACCCAATCTAGATTGTGTTGATTTATTCAAGAATGATGGTTCTGGACATGGTGTAATGAAACCTGGGCTGAGACTGCAAGCAATAAATCTGCCTTTGGAAAATGAAGTAACTGAAATTTCAGCTTTGCAGGTACATTTGGATGAATTCCAAAAAGTCTTATGGAAGGAAAGAGAGTAAGTGTTAATCATTGTCTCCCTTAACCAAGTCTGAGTTTCAGACCTCTTAAAATTGTTAAGATTGATAAATGGACCATTTGATAATGTATTTTACCACATTTAGTCATTAACTTTTAAGAATTAAAGAAATCAATTTGATATATATACATATTTTGAATTTTGAAAAGCAATTTATATAATAACTTGTTAGTCTTTATCATTCTTTTAAATTGACTTTTATTGTAACCATATTCTCATCATCTCTGGTAGAGTCACTATAATTGTATTTTAATTCTTAATGTATACAGTTAAAATATCAAGTGTATTATCTAATTTTTACAGCATTCTTGGACTTTGGTCAGTCAATTAAAAATGAATAAATATGTTAGTTTTAATAACAGACAATTCAAAACTTATGAGGTATTGATTCCAGGAAAAGCTGCCCTAGACAGGGACCATGGTGGTATAGTGGAAAGAGCACTAGGCTTCTGTCTAAGTGACCTGGATATTCATCTTCGTTTTTTGTTCTGACACATTCTAGCTAAGTGATACTGGCTGTTGCCTCTTTGTGAAAATAGGGGTAGTGATGTTATGTTCCAGTTATATATTGTTTCATAACAAAGTTTCTCAAACAATGGTTGTTAAAACAACCACCACCACCATGTATTCTGTTCATGAATCTTGAGCTGGGCTTGGCATGGACAGCTTATCGTTCATATGTGTTTTCAGCTGGGATGGCTCCTAGGCTGGGGGTTCCTGGACAGCTGGGGGTGGGGTGGGATTATCTGAAGCCTTACTCTTATATCTGGCAGTTGATCTTGTTTCATCTGGGATCTCAGTTGCAACACTTGTGTGTGATCTATCCAGGTGTCTGCTTAGCATCCTCATAGTATAGTGGCTGGGCTGCAAGTGAACATCTTAAGAGCGCAGAGTGAAATACCTGGCATTTTAATGCTTGTGCCTCAGAAGTCCATAGCATCATATCTGACCCACTTATTGGGGAAGGCTGATCAAGGTCAAGGGAGAGAAGGGCACTCTCAATGGGAGGAGTGTCAAATCATTTTAATAATAAGGGCATGCAGGATGAGGTCAACTATCTTTCTTTTGCCAGCTATCTTTCCAAAATGAAATCATCCATGGACTTCTTCACAGAATTCTTGTAAGGATCAAACACAAATAATGTCTTGGAAAGGGGCTGGTAATATAATCACTCAATACATATGTTTTTCTTCTTTGATATCAGCTTAAAAAATTATTAGCACAATGTGGAATATTCAATGCACTTTAAAATGTGGTCCCAAAATCTAATCATAATTATTTTCTCCATCTCTTTAATTATAAAACTCTTAATGGGCAGAATCAGAAAAGCAAAGCAGGCATGGTGGTCCTGTAATCCCAGCCACTGGAGAGGCTGAGGCAGGAGGATCGCTTAACTCAGGAGTTCCAGGCTGCAGTGAGCTATGATCATGCCATTGCACTCCAGCCTAGGCAACAGAGTGAGACCCTGTATCTAACGAAAAGAAAAAAGAAAATCAAGGGGAATACGTAGGGATATGTAACACAATATATAAATGTAAGTACATATTACATAGTGGTTTTAATTTCCCTGGTTTCAATGTACTGAAAAAGGGATAAATATAGAAATATAGGTTTTCACAAATACTGTGAGCTCTTTATTTGCCATTCATTTTCTGACAGCCATAAGTTTCCCATTAGTCCCTCTGAAATTTATAAACGCCACCAATTCCCTTCTTCACATTCTTTGTCTGTACTTCACCATATTAAATAGATTGTGATATAATGCAAGATTCCACGTACAGAGTAAATACTTACTATTCTATCACCAAGTATAAATTCCTAACAGAGGCAATCAACATTAGTAGAAAAGAGAATAAAATTGAATTTTTTGAGGTTTGTACACACATTACCAGTAAGTTTTATGTAAACCTATAGGTCTCACTCATGTTCTAATCTTCTGTTTTTATTTCTGGGGGGATCTACCTCTTTGGTTGTCATGGACTTCTTTCAAGCTCACTCATGGTGCTACTTCACTGATGTAGTGTAAGAGGAGTGATGTGAAGCTGCTTTTTCCTAGATGTAAATTTTCCTATCCTAAGGTGCCAGTTTAATGCATATGCCATCTTCACACACTCATACACATGTGCACAACATTTTGACTTCCTTAGAGTAATGAACAATCCTCAGAGTAAGTAAATTCTCTAATTCTCAGCAACTTCAGTATCTGAACCATAGACAGGCCAAAGAGTAAGAGGGAAAAGGAGCCTTCCATTTGGCTTTGTCGCCTTTCCTCTTTAAGGAAACAATCTCATGGATGTATGAGTCATGGTACATGCGTCCATGAATCAACATTTGCGAGCAATCCCCGTGAGGCAATTGCACTGTTTTTTTCTATCACAAAAGAATGTTTCCCAAGAATATAGTATATACTATTACTATAAGTCTGGCAGATCTTTTAAATTCTTCCTCCCAGTATCACAGCAAGTGGGTGGCTTGAGTTGAGATGTGAATGCAGTTTTTTCTATGTTCCCATCTAGTGGGAAAATTCTCTTGATTAGTGCACAAAAATCAGCTTGGGAAACTTAGGGGCTCATTTTTACCATTGTTTCTAACTAGAACCTCTTCAGCAACTAAACTAAACTTTGTTTTATTTGCATTCTGAGTACTGTTCAGTTTTAGAACTAATCATCTGGTATATGAAAGCTTCTTGTATACTGAGAATTTATATATTGCTGATGAATTATCAATGAACTGTTTTAACATTTAGATTCAGTTTTCAAATTCTCCTGTAAATAGCACCTGTGTCCCTTATAATATGCTTACTTTTTGTTATTTAAGCTGAGCTTCAGTCCTCCCTTTCCATGTTATCATATTTTCTTTTTTCTTTTTCTTTTCCTTTTTTTTTTTTTTTTTTTTGAGACAGAGTCTTGCTCTGTAACCCGGGCTAGAGTGACATGGTGTCAGCCTAGCTCACAGCAACCTCAAACTCCTGGGCTCAAGCAATCCTTTTGCCTCAGCCTCCCAAGTAGCTGGGACTATAGGCGCACTACTGCATCCAGCTAATTTTTTCTATTGTTAGTAGAAATGGGGTCTCGCTGTTTCTCAGGCTGGTCTCAGACTTCTGGCCTCAAGGGATCCTCCCTCCTCAGTCTCCCAAAGTCCCAGGATTATAAGCGTGAGCCACCACGTGCCACCTAATTTATTTTCTACATAAGAAAATTTGTATGCTCTAATTATTTTGCTTTTCTTCATTAATGCTGATTTTTTTTAATAAAATGAGATTTAAAATCCTGGTGAGAAGGTGCAGCAAACCGAAAATGCTTCAAAGATTAGTATATTTTATATAGATATGAGGGAGATTTATATTTCATGAATATATTTCTCAATTGACACAATGAATAAATTCACATGGAAATCTGGTTAATATCATTTAATGTGGTTAAATATAAAAAGTCAGGCCTCCTATACTTATTAGCTCACTGTCATTAATGCAATGTTCACTAAACCTTTACCATGTTTTGACTGTCCAGTATCTATTTGGGGCTTGGGCAACCTACTATCTAATGAGACAGCATCTACATCTCTGAATAGGTTGTAAAAATGCTAGTAGGTCTCTACCACAGTATCCCTTGCAATGAGGATGCAGACACTTTACCCAGGAACAGCTAATTAGATGTTACCATCTGGACTTTTAAGCCCAAGCTAATGCTCCAAGGAAGTGGAGAACACCTAGAATTCATCCTGGTGAAAAGGGAGGCAGCTGCAGTAGCTACATCTCCTTTCCAAAGGTACTATGCCCTCTGATCCCTAGTAACATCACGCATTGTCTCAAACTGGTGATACTGAGGTCCTGCTGTGATATTTGCACTTTAATGGTGGCTATAATGATGTGCTCATGGGAAGATTTCTATGGTTTTATCATTGGTATTTCTGGCTGCACGTGTTCCTTAGAGATCTCCTAGAAGTTTTTTGAGGTGTTAGTACTTTTTCCAATTCAAATGAGCTAATTTGAATATATTTACTTGCTGAGTATATAACTGACACTAGGTAAGAAAATAGGCAACAGGCAGGAAGCCTACAGGCAGTGAGGGCTTCACAGGGCCAGGTTTACGGCAAGAGAGTAGGTCTTGTCCCTGGATGTTTCATCTCCAAGCATTGTTCTGTGGCCCTCTTGGAGATCTGCCAGCATAATGGTATTTTTAAAATACATCTCTTTTTAAATTAAATTAACAATATATGGCTTTGCAACTAAGAACACCTAGTGCTAAAAGATATAATCACAAATAGTTGGGAGTGTATTTCCAAAATGTGTATTAAAATGTGTATTAAAATGTTGCTTATTAAAAGTATGTTTGTAAACATTTTATTGTTAACAATTCAATACTAACTCTAAATTTGGACCATTAGAAAAATGGATATATTATTTTGATTTGACAAAAACATTTTGATAGTAGACCCTTTCAGAAAATGCTGACAATATTGTTCAGTGAAATTTGCTACAGTTCAAATGTGGTTCATATTTATTTCTAGGTATTAACATTTCAGGACCTTTCATCTCTGAGAAATATTTGAGTAATATTTTTGTCTAAATAGCCAACATTAACTTCCTATTATTATGGGATCATGATAGTTAACAAAGTATCAAAGAATTGCATAAAAATATAACCACACCTTTCCATAAAAATTTTTGTTTATGGTTTATCTTTTAGATCCTGCTAATTTTATATACTTTAGCAGTATGAGTTCTAAAATGTTATATCATCATATTAGAGAAAAGAATTTTGTTCTTAGAAAGAATGTGTATGTGAAATATGCAATATACTTTACTGTAAATATTAGGTTTTCTTTTGCCTTCTTGTAGGCCAATTGTCTGACAATAGTATACATTTCAATTACAAATTTAACTATAGATGTAATCAAGTATGAAAATCTCTCTGACAAAATAAATTGTTTAAACCAGAAAATTAAAGATTTATAGAGTGCCCTCTGCTGCACAAATTTAGATGTGCAATGTTCTTAATGTTTGCTTACACAGAGTCACAAAATTTTTGATGGGGCCATACTAAAAAAAATTCAAGTATCACGTATTCATTAAATACATTTTTATGAATTGCTTGTTTTCTCATGATCCTGATCAAATTGCAACTTTTTACATAATAAAAATGCATGATTTTCTTTCACAAAACTAATACATATCAGTTATTTTATTTAAGATGTATATATTACTATCTTTGAAAAGTTACTAATTTGCCTCATTTTTTGTTTTTAATCTTTTAAAATTTTCCTTAAATAGTAATACAAATTATTATCTATTCATTTTAATTTACTTTGGCAAAATTGTATTATTTTTATTGATGAACTGGTTTTGAATATTATTCTATATCTAGATATAATCTAAAGATATAATTATGCCTAGATTATAGATTATTTACATGTAACCAAAATTAAAATTTAATAAGTTTAATATATAGTTTAAAATCATCTTCTTGAATTACTTATAAATCCTGAAAGAATAGATTACCCCAATAATTTTGATGACATTTTAGAGGATCCACATTTATTCTCCAGTAATCATAAATCATTTTTATAGTAATGTGAGCTTTTATTACTTTGAAACATTTGAGTTTATTTTGAGTTTTTAAATTACCATTTGATTAAAGTATAATATCAAAAGCAGATATTTGATTTTTCAACATGTGTCATTTTGAATTTGTAAATTAAAAATTATATTAAACTTATCAAGCATAATTTTTTATCATTCTATTTATAAATAAAATAATTATCAAAATTAATCTCAGGAGGAAAGTTTATCAATGTTTGCTCCTTTACATAAATGTAGTTATTTAAAACCTTTAATAAAATTCTTTTATTAATTTAGCACATTCTATTTGCTTTATGTTTTTCAGTTACTGACAAAATATTCCCAAGTTCTTCTCAGATAAATCTAATAAATTAAAATGATAAATATGTTGATTCTTAAACATTCTAATAAAGTTACAAACTTATTACAATTTTATTATATTTTTCAACTTAAGTTCACAAATCTAAGTCAATACTCAATATTTTTTAAATATTCTAATATGCTTAAAAAGTACTCAAATGTCAGATATGCAACCTATTTCAATGTATGATGGTTTGTACATATACTTCAAAATTTAACAAGAAATTATTAATATTTGGCAATTTGGATATTAATACTATACTTAATTCTATTCTCTTCACATCCAAAACACAGCTACTTAGGATGAAATTTATATTATGATAAGCAACTTAGGTGTCATCAGTTGGCAAGTTTGCTTATCCATCAGAAATTTTGGCTGGGGTTTTTCTTCTGAAGGTATATACATTCATATGCAATGCTCATAAGACCTACACTTTCATGTTGAACCTTTTGTTTGTTAATTTTGTTTAATATATTTGCTGTGTTAATAAGGGATTACAAATCACTGTCCTATAAATGATACTTTGTACCATTTTTGTTGCAACCTAATTCTTCTGAGGTTAAGCTAAGCTCTAACTAATTCTTTTATATCTTCTCTCAATTTTATGGCTTGATTCATGCAAATATAATTATATAACTTTTTAATAGGCTCCTTATCCATTTGATTGGATTAAACTAATATATTTACAGCCTAACACTGTTTTGGATTATTCTCATAATATTGCTACAAGGAAGAGTCATATTTCTTATAAATATGTATGTGGCATTCAATTTTGATTCTGCATGCATTCTCTACCTCTGTGAATGTGTTTCTAAAACCTTTCTAGTGACATTTATCATTACTAAAATAGATTTGTGTGTGCATATTAGTTGATCATAAGTATAATAAGGCTGTAACTAATAATCCCACAATCTCAATGTCTTATAACAGTCTGATTTTATTTAGCTGGAGTCCAGACACACAATTTGTCTTCAAACTTCTGCTTCTGTCACATCTGCTAATACCCTGTTGTTAAAGCCTAAAATCTAGGGATGAAGATATCAACTCTGTCCATAGAAATAGAGTGATAAGACTAGTATTTCTTGACAGTAATCTAATCTACCGCATAGATAAGGATAGGCGAATTAGAAAGGTCTATATATGCTAACTACAACCGGATATAAAATAATTATTTTCAGTGACTCACTCTAATGACCATTGTGGGGGGAAAAAATTCAGTTGTTGAGATATTAGAGGACCAAATTTTACTTCTAGTGCTGTTGCTAGTTCTACAAATGGAGAAATTAATTTTAATTATTTTATAATATTTAAATAATTTAAATAAAGACCCCGCTGAAACTGCTTTATTAAAACAAAATCGAAAATAATTTAAAAATGTTTTTTATCACCAATAGATGACTGACTTTTTAATCATTAGGTGGTCTCCTTGGAATTCTGTGTCATCTCAAAGGATTCTCTATTTATATATAGTCAAAATATGAAGATGGATAAAAACCATGTTAAAATCAGAAACATACATGTCCTCCTATGCGAGGAAATACTATAAATGAGAGAAATTGAGAGTGAATGACACGCATAAGAGAAATCAGGCAGGCTGGGCTCAGTGGCTCACGCTTGCAATCCTAACACTCTGGGAGGTGATGCGGGCGGATCACTCAAGGTCAGGAGTTTGAAACCAGCCCGAGCAAGAGCAAGACCCTGTCTCTACTAAAAATAGAAAGAAATTAATTGGCCAACTAAAAATATACAGAAAAAAATTAGCTGGACATGGTGGCACATGCCTGTAGTCCCAGCTACTCAGGAGGCTGAGGCAGGAGGATTGCTTGAGCCCAGGAGTTGGAGGTTGCTGTGAGCTAGGCTGATGCCACAGCACTCTTTCCCAGGCAACAGAGTGAAACTCTGTCTCAATAAATAAATTAATAAATAAAGAGAAATAAGGCAGAATATTAATACTGGCAAAACCAAATTAAACCAAATTAAACATATTTAATCTACAACAAAGTTAATTCATAGAACAGTAATAGACTAAACCAGGTTTTATTCAATAGTTGTAATTTTTAATAAGTTAGAAAATGTTTTCTCTCATTATAATTATATACAAATATCACAAATTAGAAAAAAAAATTATAAATTATATTCATTCCTAAAATTATTTTAGAATTATAAGTCTACTTTCCTGTCTTTTATTTCTTAAATGATTTAGAATGCGCACAGCTTTGGAAAAAGAAGTAGAACGACTGGAGTCAGCTTTGTCTCTGTGGAAATGGAAGTATGAAGAACTAAAAGAATTGAAGCCACAAAATGTGAAAGAGGTATGAGGACATATGATATAAAGGAAAAATGAAACCAGGATTTTCTTTCTTTGGATATGTAAGATAGTGGGCAGAAGGCCCAAAAATTCAACAGACATGAGGAAGGGAGGTTAAAAAATGAATTTTCTCTGTAAGAGGAATATTTGAAATCACATGCCAATAGTAGATTTAGTCAAATTCAGACCATAAGAAATTTCATTCCAAATAACAAATTTTTGTGGTTTTATGTTAGTCTTTATTTGTTTTCAATTTAATTATATATAAATAAGGTGTACAGATGATGTTTTGGTGTACATATTGATAGTGAAGTGGTTAATGATCAACTACATGGCTCAATTAATTATCCACTCTAGGCCATTTGAGGGGAGTGCCAAAAATTCTTTATGATATCAAGACATGTAATCATAAGCAATTTTATCTTATTCTTTCGTGAATAGTCTAAAAATAGCAATTTATTTCAAGTGTATTTAAGTTCTTTTCATATTGACATCATATTTTCCAGGATCAGCCACTTGCCTTTATACTTTTCTTTGGCATTTTCATCAATAAAATGCTGTCATGAACCCTTCCCATTTCAATGATTTATTAATGTTTATTATTTAAATAATATTAATTTTACATATTCTGTTTATGAAACCATTGTACCAAGTAGGTATGTGGGAAAGAGTAATGAGTAAAGAAAAGAAAAATAAGGGGCAAAAATAATGACACACTACTTTCAAATGAGTTAACATTTAGTGGGTGTGTGTGCATATATATATACATATATATATATATACACACACACACATACACACATACATGTGTATATGGATTCACAGTATTTATAGGCATAAGTACCTTTCTCTGAGTGGAGTGAGCATTCACAATAAATTAATATATACTGGAAAATATTTCGTGACACAAAAATCATATTATGTTTAGAGCACATGTGTATATATTCTGTAATATAAAGGGTTCTAAATTTGACTGAGAAAGCTAATATTTAAGATGAAATTAGTCTTAAATTAAAATTTAAAAAAAAACACATGCATTCACTATCTCTTGCCACTAGTGTGCAGTACAGACTTGGTAATGTTACTCTTTGTTTTATAAGCCTTTTTATTCAAGTAACATTTATGTAGCAAATGTTTTGAGAAAAAGTCATACTTTTGAGTGGTTTACAAAGCAATATGTATGTTGAAAAATGTTTAATGTTTTCTGTTCAAAGATGATTTTTTGGTAGCAGATCTGAAAATCTCCATTCTAAATTGCTTAACAAAATTACATAAGTGAGAGAAAAAATAAAACAAATGTGGCTTTATTCAGTGTAAGTTAGGTCTGCATTTGATGACCATACAGAAATATATACTTAGCTATATATGATGCTTTTGCTAGATAAAATGATGATAGGATTTTGAGAGGGAAGAAATCTCAGAATTGTGGAAAATTTGTCTACTTAAATTTTGAGTGTATGTTGCAATTAGATGAATTGCAAAGCTGAACAATGAATGACAATGAATGTCAAAAGAATTGTTTTGTATACAACAAAAAGTTATAAAGATAAAAAATACTATTTGAAGTTTTATATAGGATTATTTAATTTTTTTTCTTTTTACTTCCTAATAAGACCTTTATTATGTTCTTAGGAATTTTTTAAGGAAATGTAGTATGTACATATGTTAAATTATTTTTGTAAAATATGATGAAATATTTAAAAATGTTTAGGAATGAAAAAATAAAAATACTTAGTCACATGAAATTATTTATACATTATTCATTTAATTGCTTTTATATTGAATTATAACACACAAGAATTTTAAACTACATTTAGAAATGGCATTGTAGGATAAATATAAGTGTAAAGTATTCAAAGTCCCCCTACAGTTGAATGATAATCAGAAAAATATGTGCCAGAGCGCAGCCTTTGAAACTTCATATAAATTACCCTTTCTTACTTGCCTTCTCAAAAATTCTGATAATGACCTTTGCATTCAGTGCAGCTCTTCATATCTAAAAATGTTTGAATACAAGTATAATTCTTTTGGAGATGCCTAAAACTGTTAAAAGGCAAATAAATGTCTGCCTAAGGACTGCTGATGGAAAGATTAGCAATTGTTAGGGTTAGAAACAGACGTGCTTTATTAAATAGACCTAGATTTTTAAAAATGTATTTGAAAGTCTGGAATGCTTTAGAAGGAAATCATTCTTAAATTACTGACATTTAGAGAGGAGACAAGGTAAGAATTTAATTGTAAAATCTTACTGTTTAAAATATAACCAAGAGAATGCATAGTCAAGGTAATTATACCCCAAATGCTGTTCCCATGCTGAATTTAATAGTTATTCATCTTTTTCATTGGGAGCCTGTACATATTGATTTAGAATGAGATTTTGAATTCTGAGTGTGCTGAAATGAAAATTTCCATGAAATTTCATAGTCTAGAGGATAAAATATTCATGTAAGAAACACTGACTGCAAATAATTTTTGTAACTCAGTTTAAAAATCAATAACTCTAATTCTTTCTCTGATGGAAGAGATCCTTTGCCATATGTGAGAATACTGCTAACATCTAAAAATTAGTTTCTAGATGAAAAATTTTTCCTTGAAAATGATATGATTTTACGTGGTGTCTTTTTATGGTTTTCTAAAGAACTATCTTCTTGTGATCATAACAATATGCCTAGTAGTTTATATTGTTGTTTTATAAATGTTTATAGATAAATATTCATATTTATGGAGACACAGGCATTGTGGGACTCCTTTATGGTACTTATAGCTTACACTGAAGTCTTATTTCAAGAACCTCAAAACACCTTTTATGATTTAGTGAAAATAGAAGATTAGAATTACTAGTATAGGTAGCTAAAATTCTATACCTATCCCTTATTTTTCAAAAAGGTATGTGATATGGAAGCTGTTCTGTACACATCAAGACCAGTCCTTGAAGACACTTATTAGAAATAGATGTATAGTAGAATATTAATGCAGTTGAGCTCAAAAGTTACTTTGAAACACTGTCTTTCATTGCTATTCTTGGGGCTTAAAGAAATTGTTCAATAGAAGTGACTAAAAACATTAATGTATCTTCTCAAATCTACTTCACAATGTATCTCTTCCCATTCCTTTCCATCTCTGCAACTTCCCCAGGCAGAACCATCATAAGCTCTTACTTTGCCTTCTCCTTCCAGGTCTCTTCACAACCACTATTGACCTGTTTGAACTCATTCTCTATCCACCAACCAGGGTGATACTTCTAAAACATTAGATTGCATCATATTACCCCCTTCTTGAAACACCTCAATGGCTTCTCTTTTATTTAAAGTATAGCTGCCTTCCAAGTAATTTGGAAGTCCAAGGAAATCCAAGTTCACCTGGCTACACCAATAGATGCTGATAATTCCATGGATGCCCAATGATGATATCACTCTTTTCTACCTTAACTGCTAACAAGCAATACCAAAATTCCAGTACTTATACTCAATAGATTATTAGTTTTGACTCATGTACAGTCCCTACCTGTATTTGGAGGGCAGCTTTTTCCTTCTATCCAGTGACTCTGCCATCCCCTAGGTTCTCAGAGGTCATGCAGCTAGAAACTGTGCATCTGACTAGAGATTAGAAAAAAGAGAAAAAGGAGGATCACATAGGACTGACTTATATGGACTAGGCATGGGAGTATACAGTATTTCCACTTATAATTCACAGATGAGTACTCATTTGCATAGCAATACCTATTGTCAGGAAAGTTGAAACACGTATTTAAGCTATATACCAAAAAGAAACATAAAATGGATTTGGCAAGCATCTAGTTTCTGTTGCAGAAGCCAATATATTATATAATATAGGAATATTTATTCATATATGTTATTAAGAATGCATGCACTCTGGGAGGCGGAGGCGGGTGGATTGTTTGAGCTCAGGAGTTCGAGACTAGCCTGAGCAAGAGCGAGACCCTGTCTCTACTAAAAATAGAAAGAAATTATCTGTACAACTAAGAATATATAGAAATAATTAGCCGGGCATGGTGGTGCATGCCTGTAGTCCCAGCTACTCGGAAGGCTGAAGCAGAGGGATTGCTTGAGCCCAGGAGTTTGAGGTTGCTGTGAGCTAGGCTGTTGCCATGGCACTCTAGCCTAGGCAATAGAATGAGACTCTGTCTCAAAAAAATAAAAATAAAAAAAGACTGCATGAATTGAAATATTACTTTCATTATTATTGATAAATATATTTGAGCCAATATATTGATAATATATATCAATATATTATCAATATATATTTATCAATATATTGATAAATATATATGAGCCAAAGACTTTGGCTCATATTTAAGAGAATGGGCTTCTTAATCCTGAATCCTCATATTAACAACTTGACTGACATCCACACGTTTGGGCTGGACTGGTAGAAATTTTGTTTTTTCACATGGGACTCTTTCACTCTATGTCCTATATTTTTGAGAAAGATTGCAGAATGTGTGCTTCTCACCAATATCACTTTCCCAAAGAAATGGGAAATGTAATTAAGAATAATATAAGCACGAAATTACATAAGTCACAATTAATTAAACTACTAGTGGATAATTTATAGACATTGTCAAGGTAACCCTCAGAACACTGAGATGACTTACTTAACTCTAAGACTATTATAAGAATTATGAAAGAAAATTAGTCAAGTTATAATTTACTTGTAGAAACATTAAATTATAAAAAAAGTTAGGTCTATGTTAAGCAATAAATAATATTTTAAAATTTAAGATAGTTAATATTTAAAACCAACTAATATTTAATTAATTTATACAAGTTAATAGTTTGAGAATAATAAGAAGAGTAGACTAAAAAGAAATAAAGGGTGAAGTATCAAAATGAGTTATGCAAGTAATTACTTCACTAATGGAAATGTCTCACATGATAGGAAGCATTTGGTCTATGAAACATCTTTATTTTATATCACAGGTGATGGGATATTTTCCAGTGATCTATTCCACATAAATTTAAAGTTTCTGTTTTTTTTTTTTTC